CCATAGTGAATACAACCTTTCTTCAAAATCTACTTGTTACTTCGAAACCTAATCAATACGAATGATAAAAAGACCACGTTGCTTATGTTCACCGTTCAAATTCTAACGAGGGCAAAAATTAATACCGATTAACTTTTGGAAACACGCATAAAGGTGGGACTTGCTGTTGCTAGCTGAAAAGTGTACATGGAAGCATAGTTATGTGGTGAAGCTCAATTAAATCGGTTCGCCTAGACCACCAATTACTAAATTTACCGTGCTGGCTACAACTCATACCTGATCATTTTAATTTGAAAATCATAATCATATTTTAGATTAGCATAAATATCTCGTTTCAGCTGTGCACAATGCTGCAAATCATATAAGCTGTTTGCGACCAAGTTAGAAATCATTTGTCGGCTGAAGTATTAACATTCAAATAATAAATTCATCATAAATGTACCAGTAAATAATAGTAACTGCTAGAAATAATAAGAATTGTAAAAATAAGAAAAATGACTAAATAAAATGTATTGGAAGGGTAATTATCACTTAAAGCAGCAAAGTATGATTGATATACGGGCAAATCAGCAAAGACAAAAACATATATTCTCAATTTGTTTAACCATATTTATTTCTACAAGTACTATGGATAGATGAAGCAATTGCTTGTCACGTCAAACATTAGAAAATAGCATTTTTGAACCTTACTATGCATTTATTGCATAGTGTTGGATTGACCTCGATTTCGCAATTTAATTGTATTTCCCGGGAAACCTATAACAACTGCTCCCATACTGCGTCATTGTTTTCACGTATGTTTCCGGCCTTGCACCGTTGAATGAGTAGATTATCAGAAGTTTCCTTCGCCTTGTAGTCGGCACTGTCGATGAACAGTGCCATCCTTAGGCCTTAGCTACAATTCTTCAAAGTTACTTGTATCTGGGTGTTGAGTGAGGTGCTGCTTGCAGTAAATTCTGACTAAGCTGTCAGTGCGATGTCTGTAAATGTATCTGGGCCACAGTCAGATACTGGAAGAAGACACGACATCGAGAATAAAGAAAGCGGTAGGGGCTATGTTTTCCGAAGTCTCGCTGAAAGCACAACTAAGCTGGGAAAACGGGATCAAATACCCGTTTTAGAAGTATTAACGCATTTAAGTGCGTCAAACAACGTACTTTAATAGAATTTTTGGAATTTATGCGACGTGTCTTTCGCAACTTGATCGAGGTGACAGAGAGACCTTGTAGAACGTACTCAGTCCTTCATCTTCTGCCAGAGTGGTCCTGCTCATTTCTAGCATCGGACCGTTTACTTTGTACATTCTCAGAAGCTTCGACGACATCCTAGTCGTCAACGTCATAGCACCGAGTTGCAGCTAGTCAAAGTGACGATCAAATGCACACATTTTGACTTGGTACTGACGCGCTGTATCTCTTCTCATGCTGGAAATATTCTTTGCTTAGCTTCAAGCAGGCTATATTGTTAAAGTTTGCACTGTTCGCCTGAAATATATACCCAAAGCTAAGCTTATTACTATCCCTATTCACCTTTTGTAGGGCTCCAGAGCTAGTTTAGTTCGGATAAACCTCTGTGGAAATACGATTTCGACAATGCTCGAAATGATATAGACTAAAGAAAAGTACCAATTCAACCTTGTAGTCCGAGGCAGCTGGAGCGAAGTTGTCAAGCCCGCCTCTCCCTGGTGTCGTTTGCAGAAGTATGCATTCGAGTCATCTTTCCCGAAGTGACATTAACAACTATGCTCACTAGCAGGCCTCGCTGCGCTCCAAGTAACTGTATCAAAAGCCCCGTTTGCATCCAAGTCGACCTGTCTGTAGGTATGCCCTAGAGTTTGCGCACACTGCCACCTTCTGAGAAAGTTTGCTGCTTTTCCAAAATGTGTTTTTTTTGCCACGAGGACATTTCACTTATTTGATAATGATTTTGAAGAAAACCAACTGCAGCCCTTTTGTTCACATAATCGGCTCACCATTCCAACTTTCAAACTTTGTATGCAATTTTCTGTATCCCCTCTCCTGTATGACTGTTTCGTCATTCACTGCTTCAAGGAAGTTGGAGGCAACTTTTCTGCAAGTTTATTCGACAAGCTTTCTCCAGTCACGGGCACTTCCTGCCTGCCACACTTCTATTCGTCAGCTCCGGTGCGGCTTCCCTCTTGCTCGTCAAATTGCTGCCCTCCGTGCTCTCTTTCCACCGCCGAGAAAATCTACTTGTCCCACCTTTTCCTGCCCAATAAAGGTTGCCCAGCCCTGCCTACACACAAGCAGGTGAATTCACTCGTTACAGCTCCTATCTTTGCTGCTGCTGTTGCCGCCATCATTTCGGATGCTCAGGCCAATACTGAGGATGCAGTCTGCAGCAGCCTCGTTGCCTTGTGGGTTCGGTGATGTGAGTACTTTTTGCAAATGTCCCATACACATATGCATGCGCACACACACACGCCTCAAAGTCACCTCCAGCCAAACTTGTTTATTAGCCGGTTTCGTCGGCTCCCTTAACGCTCTGCCTCGGCAGGCGACAGCCAACGAGGA